AGCCGTCCCCAATTTGGCGATATAAGACTAGAGGGAAGGCAGATAGTTATCACCACCCACCGCCAACTGTTGGGCTACTCTTTTACCAATGAATAATGGGATTGACCGTCACATTATAACGCCCCCACGGTTGAAAGGGCGAGCATGTTTGGTGGAACGGGGATTCGAACCCGCGACCCGTAAATTGCGAGTCGAGCTCCCTAACCACCTGACCATGCCGGGCGAATATAATGTTGGAGCACATATCCACATGATATGATTTACATAATTTCTGATTTATAAGTTAGATCTGCAGAGGGTTAAGCTCGGCTCGCCAGTACAAAGTACCTTAAAGTTACAAATTCTTAAAATAAAATTTATGCACAAACACAAATCTCAATTTGGCTAGGCCACAGAAAAATTTTGCAACTTTTTTTTTGAATCTATATACACAAAAGCTTCGTATTTTGAAATACAATATACATAGAACCGCTTGTTTTCACAGTTACTTTCACTAGCACGAAAACACGCCAACATGTTCGTACAGCCGTTATAGTGATTACTCATTAAATGACGCATTCAGCCATTAACACAGTCAATCTATCTCGTTGTGTTGTCTTATCTTTTCAGACAGTGATTTCACATCAAATCTGTTCAGTAGTTTCCGTTAGTTTAATAAAGAACATTCCTGGAATAAACGCAAGAATAAACAGTAGAGTAGAAAAATAATGAAAGTGCGCATAGAAGTAGTGTTTTTAACATTAGCAGATTTTTGAAATTCTCCATGTAACACTTGCTGGATTTTCTTTCAGGAACCTACCGAGAAGGAAATCGGCTCACCATACCATGACGAAACAAATATGGCTGCTGTTCTAGTAAGAAATGCAGATAACGGAAAGATAGAGATAGTACGTACATGTGTTTTCTTGTTCACAATTGTGGGAGGATTCTAAGTAAACATGCAATTTCTAGATAGTTGTCAAAGAATAAGGGTAAATTACTCCGAATTTTATAGCTCCTTACAATACAATTAAACACCTGAATGTAATGAATAAGAGTAAATTACTCCGAATTTTATAGCTCCGTACAATACAATTAAATACCTGAATATAATGAATAAGGGTAAATTACTCTGAATTTTATAGCTCCGTACAATACAATTAAACACCTGAATGTAATGAATAAGGGTAAATTACTCTGAATTTTATAGCACCGTACAATACAATTAAACACCTGAATGTAATTGCAGTTATTGATCAAATGTTCAGTTTGTTTGCTGTTATACACAAAGTTACACAATGGTGTATCTATGTTGTGACCACCACGTGTATATAAACCCGGTTTTTAGCGTTTAAGCCTCCCGACTTGCCACTGAGGGTGAAGGTGGGTGGGTGGAAACCATGTATTACGCTTGATCCTTCTCATTGTGATGTTCTTTTTGTCTTTTACGTTGTTTTAACTTACATTTATTATGTCTTAATTTATATTGAATTGAGTGATGGTTTTATTTCTATTCATTACATGTTAATGCATTTTTTATTTAGTACTTGCTAATTTACATCGGAAATCAAGTGTAATTTTATTTGTGTTTATTACTTTACTGTTTATTATAAGTTTATTTGTGTTTATTACTTTACTGTTTATTATAAGTTTATTTGTGTTTATAACTTTACTGTTTATTATAAGTTTATTTGTGTTTATTACTTTACTGTTTATTATAAGTTTATTTGTGTTTATTACTTTACTGTTTATTATAAGTTTATTTGTGTTTATAACTTTACTCTTTATTATAAGTTTATTACTTTACTGTTTATTATAAGTTTATTTGTGTTTATTACTTTACTGTTTATTATAAGTTTATTTTTATTTATTACTTCACTGTTTATTATAATTTTATTTATGCTTATTACTTTACAGTTTATTATATTTTTGAAGGCCATGTTATTGAATTTATTGTTTAATGTATTGTTTGTTAGTGGAAATTTCTGCATGACTTAGTGATGACGTGCTCAACGTTAAAATCTCCTGTGTGTCTAGACTTGACGTGACGCCTCAAATTTTTATGAGCTTATGGGAAAATAAATATTATATAAAATAACCATAGTCGTTTATTAGTTAGCTATTAAGATGACGAGATAGTGAGTTGATTAGTTATTCAGTTAGTTAGTGAGTGAGTGGGTGTTTATCGATTACTGAGCTAACAAATGCTCTACATTTTTTAGTTCCGTAGATACAAAAGGAAATATAAAATGAAAGTACCTGTTAAGCTTTGTCTGTGAGTTAGATTAGCACTGGATTATCGTTAGTTCGTGAAACTGCGAGAGATGTAAAACTTTTAGTTGAAAAAGTTCATTAAGTGAACTGGACTTTGTATTATTTTTATCAACTAATCAAAAATAAAACATTGTGATAGAAACCGGTACAAGATGGTGTAAAGAATGTGATCATTTTGGGGAAATAAAATTCTACAGACTAAATTTCAAGATGGCGATACATGGTTGAAGAGAGATCAAATATTTGCTAGAGATGATGAAACAGTTGAAAGAAGAACAAGCAGAAAAACCGAGAACGTTAAAAGAATATCAAGAAGAAAGATACAGGAATTTAAGAAATGAGTTAAAAGAAAGAGACGCAAAATTAAAAGAAGAGCTTAAAAAATTTATTGAAAAGCTATGTTAGATATGCTGAAGGATTATAACAGCAAAGTTGAAGTAGTAAAAATAAACACATATGATTTGTTTGTTTGAAGTTAAGCACAATGGGCTATTTGTGTTCTGCCCACCACGGGTATCAAAACCCGGTTTCTAGCGTTGTAAGTGTTCCACTAGGGGGCAAACACAGATGAAGTGCAGAAAGAAGGTCAAAAACGAAGTACTAAAAGGACATGAAGAATGTACAAAAACGAAGTACAAAAGGACATCAAGAAAGTCAAAAACGAAGTACTAAAAGGAATGAAGAAGGTCAAAAAACGAAGTAGAGAAGGACATCGAGAAGGTCAAAAACGAAGTAGAGAAGGACATCAAGAAAGTCAAAAACGAAGTACTAAAAGGACATGAAGAAGGTCAAAAACGAAGTACTAAAAGGACATGAAGAAGGTCAAAAACGAAGTACAGAAGGACATCGAGTAGGTCAAAAAACGAAGTACAGAAGGACATCGAGTAGGTCAAAAACGAAGTACAAAAGGACATCAAAAAAGTCAAAAACGAAGTATTAAAAGGCATCAGTGAAGTACGGAAATATTGCAAAAGCAAAGAACATAAATGACAGAATAAAACACATGGAAAATCAATTTGTAAATAGAATGATCAAATCAGCCACACTACTTGCGTCACCTGTCCAAGAATTGTATTAAATATGGAATAGCAATAACCATTTGGTCCACATCTCTAACTACTAAATGGTCCAGCATGACCAGGTCGTTAGGTCGCTTGACTCGCAATCTGTGGGTCGCGGGTTCGAATCCCCGTCCCACCGAAGATGCTCGCCCTTTCAGCCATGGGGGCATTATAATGAGACGGTCAATGTGACATTGGTAAAAGAGTAGCCTAAGAGTTGGCGGTGGGTGGTGATGACTAGCTGCCTTCCTTCTAGCCTTTCACTGCTAAATTAGGGACGGCTAACGCAGATAGCCCTCGTGTAGCTTTGCGCGAAATTCAAACCAAACCAAACTGCTACTTCTGTGCCACCTGTGATTGCAGGACCTTCCTGGACGGTTTCACGTGTATCACTACCTCATGAAGCTACAGAATTTAGCAGGCTGGTTCAAGAATATCACTTAGTCAAGAAACCAACACACCACGACAGAAAGGAACCATAGGAGGCATATCAGGCTCAGTTTGAAATAATTTCCTTGTGGAAGGGTGGTAAATTGAACAACAAGCTATTCATATTGCTGATCATTTAAAATGCCATCACCATCCTTAACAACATTAAGCAATCTTCCAGCTGAGACTGTAAAACAAATATCAATCATTGGCGGCTTGCTTTATCGAACAGGGTAGAAGTAACGCAACAAAAGGAAATTTCCAAAGCAAAGTTTAGGAACAAGATAGAAAGAGACCTTAGCTTGCCCAACTGTATTGCCTAGATGCTTCAAGTGAAATGTTGGATTAATTGGCTTGTGACCAATTCACAGATGCTGATGAGTTTATACAAATGAAACCAAAGCAAATAGATGTACATCTTTAAAGGATGTCCTCCAGTTGGAATTGAACATGAATCCATTAAATTCGCATATACACAACTAAAGGGATCATCCAGAAGTTACAGGATCATCAGATGAAGTAGTGTTAAACATTAATTCCTTTTGACGGTAGACTAGAAAAATTGAAATGATTAGTTAGGCAACTAGTTACACAGAACAGAAGAAATAAGCCCCAAGACATAAAGTGTTTCAAATGTAACAAATTGCCAAGAACTTCGGACATAAACCTGTAGGGAATATAATCTTCTCCAGAATGATGTCAGAAAAATGAAGCTGTTGTAAATTTGGACAATTACTTTCAAGATTGCGACGAATTATTCGTTGATTATAAGTCAAGGAGTCGTTATTTTGAGGATAAGAATATTCCATCTGCAAAGAACGTATTATTTAAAAAAACCAATTCCACGAGTCAAACGGATAAAATGGTAGCAAGCCATTCACCATGTTGATCGACACAAGTTCTATGGCTACAACTGTTTGACCATATCTGGTAATTAATGGTGGGAAATTACCTCCAGTAATTAATGCGAATAGCAAATGGACATAAAGTTTCAGCAAGAGGAAAATTGGGAATCACTTTCATCATGGGAAGCTTCTCTACATAACATGATGTGTGGGTAAATGACATTGAAGAAAAGTGCATAGTGAAAACTAACTCTATATGAAACATGGACTTGAAGTTAGACTAGCGTCAAATAGCATCACAAATAGCATTATATGAGAGTTACGCTACCAAAAGCTGGATTTCTAGTAACAACAGAGATGGGCGCACAGGGCAATAAAGACAGCCGACCTGGAGTGCAACAGAGCAGAATACAGAAGAATAGGTGGTCAAAGCCAAAATTCATTTATTGTGATCGTCTTTTGTAGGTTGTTGATAAGAAAACAGCTAACTGATTAGCTTTAGCAGGCATCTTGTCAGAGATAAGTCAACATCCTGGAGAACTTTAGGTTCCTGTTGAGACCATTTCTAGAGTATCACCAAGGATGGAGCTGCCAGTGGATTTCCGCGAGCATCTACCCAAAAAGAACTCCCCCAGATAACAAGTGATAATAAAAGACAAGAGGTCATCCCATCTTCGTGCCATAAGCCACGGAAAAGAAAATTTACCAACTAGATCTGGTGAATGGGCAGTTTAAACATTGAAACTAAGATAATGAAGATTTTTTTCTTTGTTTAGATCACGCTTTCTTTAGTACATTTTATCAATGATTTAAAAATTGTAATATCTATTCATGACTAATAATTTTTGTTAATTGTAAGTAGTGACTATTACTAATTTTGTACGTTTATGTTTAAAGTGTTGTTTTATTTGTGTATTAAAATTGTTTAGGGGTCTTCATAATATAGGAAGAGGGCAGTGTCCAAGGTTATGTTTTAATATTTTAATTTTATATTTTGCATTGTTTGATAGAGGGAGTTTTGGTATTACGTATGATGACAAGAAATATTCATTATGTCTAGATTTAAAATGACGTGTAGAATTTCCATGAGATTTGCGAAAGAACAAGTATAAATATTGGATAAAACACCACAGTCAGTTAGTTAGACAGTGAGTTGACAGATTATTCTGTTAGTTAGTTAATGAGTCTTTTATCGTGCAGTGTTGTCCATCCATCACTAAGTTAAGAAGCGATGTACGTGTTTGAGATAGTGCCGTAGATACGATATGACGTTTAACAAGTAATGTTTATAGTTAAGCATAAAGATACACAATGGGCTATCTGTGCTCTGCCCACCACGGTATCGAAACCCGGTTTCTAGCGTTGTAAGTCCGCAGACACACCGCAGTGCCACTGGGGGGCAACAAGTAATGACTATCAAGCGTTGTTTGTGAGTTAGGCTTATCACCAATGTTCCCTCTAATTTTTTCAATTCATGAATTTTTTTCATTTGCACCAATATCAAGGCAATGTGCACTACCTGTTTCCTTTTTTTGGGGGTGGTGGTGGTGGTATTTTTCGACAATCAACCCTATTGAATCATTAGGCCACTTTGCAATGCTACCAGTTGGTTATTTGGGCTTTAGGCCTGTCGACTGCTAGGGTTATTAAGGCCGTCAACGTGTTGAGACTCCTTATCATTATTGACGATGTGCGCATTTAATTTGTTGTTGTGCAGCTGCGCAGCTTAGAGGGAACACTGCTTATTACTTGATAATCGTAAGTTCACAAAAACGTGTGAGCTGTAAAACGTCCAGTTGAAGAAATAAAACGCCTTCCTTTTTTTTCAAGTGGACTAGGCTTTGCTTTACTTGTACCTAATAATAAAAACAAACCTGCCCAACGATAGAAACGGACACGACACCATTAATCATATGTTAATTTTTGATCCATTAAATTGTGACTTTATTTCTGTTTATTAGATGCCAATTTTTGTGTGTGTATCATACACAGAATATTACTGATGGTAGACCAAGAACTATTATTCTGTATACCCGTTTTGTGCTCACTAGTCACACTCTAAGAGTATATATGAAGTTTGATTTGTTGTCTGATCACGTACGGGCTGTGGTGCCACTGTGGCCTAATAGTTAGCATGTCGGTGTGTGAATCCAAAGGTTCATGGTTTGTGTTCCTTTGATGTACTTTGGGGCCTTGAATTATTATAAGAACGACGGTCAAATCTCACTCTTCGATCAGATAAACCCCCTGGTGGCTCAACGGTAAGTCTTAGGGATTATGACGCTAAAACACGGGTTTAGATACTCGTAGTGGATAGAGCACAGACAGCTCTTGTGTAACTTTGTGCTTAACAATAAACAAACAAACGAACCGATCAGACAATAGTAGCCCAACAATTGGCTTTGGGTGCTGCTGAGTAACTGACTTCTCTTTAATCTACCAGTTTAGAATTAAGAACGGCTTATCCACAGATAAGCCTTTTGTAATTTTGTGAAATGTTTTCAAACAAAAAACAAATGTTAAAAAACATTTAAATTTAGGGGCTCATAACTTTTTTTTGTAGGACGGCACAATTGGCGAAGACCTGGTCATCAAACCACTGCCTTTATCGCTCGATAATGACGAGTACGTCGATGATGAAATGTTTTTAGACGAAGACGAAGAAACAGAAATTCGTAGAAATAGAACCCTGGGGTTTCTCCCTGGCAAAGGAATTTATTCCAAAAATATTGACGAACTTAAAGGACGCCATATTGTGTACAAACGCAAAATGTTCGGAATTGACGAGCATTCCGACTATCGTAAGTATTAAGCATTTTATATTTTTTCCTAAAATTAATTTTGTTGTTGTAAACTATGAGGGGTGTTAGTATTTGTTACTTGACTGGCTCTTTAGAAAGTTGATATAGTAGTTAATAATATTTAAGAGCTCTTGCTTCATTTCCTCTTAGGAGTATTTGAAATTAATTTAATAATACAATTATCAAAATATTGCTTACGTTTCGCTCTTAATGCTATAATTTTTAATGGCAGATAACACATCGTAGGCCAACTAGTGGTACAGTGGTAAGTCTACAGGCTTAAGAAGCTAAAAATTGGGTTTCGATACCCATGATGAGCAGAGCACAGATAGCCCATTCTGTAGCTCTGTGCTTAACGAAGACCGAATCGAACCGTGTCCCAGTTAAAAATAATAATCCTGAGAAGGTTATTACGTAATGTTTAAACTTATTAATGTTATATATTATTCACAATATCTCTCTTGAGAATTATACGTGTTTTACTGTTACAATTGAAGATTTAGTACGTATTCGTTTCAATAACTAAAGTAACTATGTAGATTTAGTGACCGTAACTGTGGCTCTCTTACCAAGTATTCAACATCACATGTATTGGAAAATGGTACTAGTTTAGTTTTTACGTATTAAAATTTGTAACGTGCTCTTCTTTTCTGTAAGCCATGATTCAATATTTGTGAATATTTTGAAAGAATTTCTTATTTGCAACTTTTTAATTCCAACTTTGAAATATAACCAGCTTTGATATTACAAACAAAATGCCCATTTTAGTTCTAGCTTAGTTAAAATAAAGAACTTCAGTTTGAATAAGGTTTTTTGTTTTAAAACCGTTTGAGAACAGTGAACCTTACGTACAAGCTGGTGATGATAAAGATGGCGACATCTGTTAGAAATGTTCATAAAGTAGCTAGCAGCATCTTAAAGCGCATTTTGCACTTCGGGTTAATCCATAAAAATTCGCGTCTATTTTCACGAGGAACTAGTTTCACGACTTGGAAAATTGTAAAGAATAAGGACTTTGTATTGCTTTTGTTTGTAGTTAAGCACAAAGCTACAGAATGGGCTATCAGTGCTCAGCCCACCATGGGTATCGAAACCTGGTTTCTAACGTTGAAAGTTCGCAAACGTACCGCTGTGCCACTGGGGGGAGGGGGGCTTTGTATTGCAAAGAAAATAATTTTCTGCGCATTTTAAGTGAGTAACTCCCTCCCCGTTAACAATGAACACGTTTAGTTGCGAATGAAACAATTCCTAATAGTTGACCTATTTAATTAAGAAATTCAAAGCAAAAATTTTCTCATCGTGTTTTCATAGTGCATGCAATAGAGGGTTAAATGGTATTACCAGGACGTTTCACCACGTCAAAGCTTAAATTGATTAAAAAAAGCCTTAGAAATACTATCAAAGCATGCGTTAAGTCGCAGCGTAAAGTCCACTGTACTGTTATTTCTGATACGATTGTCTGAAAGGAAATTATTCAAGCAAAACATACTTGTTCAATTTAAAAAAGGTTAGTTTTTCATTAAATAAACTATTTATAGATAGTTAGTGATTGCTGTATATCGAATATGATAAGTTGGGTTTTGTTTAAATTCTGTTAACTTTTGAAGCTGTCGATAACAGCTTACAGACATTTATGAAATTACGAATAAAAATATTCATTACTCATGGGTAATAAAAATCAATTTAAAAATGATTAGTACTCGTTAGATTAAAATATATATATATAGCGAGACAAACATTGAAGAGGGTAAAAAAAGAAACGTAAGGAAATTGAGTTGCTAATTAAGAATAACCTTTAGTTTTGAAAACTATATATTTTTAATGTAGTTTTCGTTAACGGTATTTGTTAACACGTTTAATATATTTATTTTTAGTGTTTGTAATTATTATCATCATTATTATATTTATATTATCAAGATTATTTTGCATTGTTAGCTTAGTATATTGATTTAAAACTAAGTAAATCTTTTTATCTGGGTGAACTTCGTGAGATACTGTTGGGATTACGGCCGAAAACAGCGAAGTTACTCAAATGACGAAACAATACATTGTAATCTTTATAAACAAGAACGTAAGAGTATATCTTAATTTTAGTCCTGGATTAGGGTACTCGACTCACAATCTTCGGATAGCGGATTCGAATCCCGTTACCGAACTAACTCGCCTTTTTAGTTGTGAAGACGTTATAATATGATGGGCTTTTCCATCTTTCGTTGGTAAAAGAATAACTCTAGGGTTAGCGGTGGGTGTTGGTGAATAGTTGCCTTCCATCTAGCCTACCATCTCAAAACTTGAAACAGCTAGCGTGGATAGTCCTCGTGTTGCTTTGCGCGAAATTCAACAAAACAAAGTAGCAGATGTTAATGTAAACTAAACAACGTGTACGCCACTTATACTTACGCTTGGAAACTATTACCATTTAAAACATTCAGAGGTGAAATTAAGAATCCATCAACCACAATAAAAGTAATGTTGAGTTATGAAAGAAAGTGTGTTTTGAACGATGTAACAAATACAAAGATGGGTTATGTAATATACGGTTTAATAATTTGTGTTGAATGAAAATAAGTTTAAATAAATGAACCAAAACCTAATTTGCTTAATTGACAACTAAATATTTTAACGGTATTTCATACGCCTGTCGCTAACTGTTTGGGACTTGGGAAAGAACAAAGGCGCAATTCAAGATAACCGTGTGTGGCCTCCAATAATTTTCAATATTTGTCCACTTGCCCCTCGCCCTTCAGAGAAGATATACAAGCATGCTTATGAACACAGTGTAGCACAAGCAGGGGTGTTGAACTTGCCAGAAGTTTTATTAAGCCGATATCGTCCGAGTTGTTCTACTAAACCTCCTATAGAACGATGAGGGTAACGAACACCTAACAAGGTTAGCGTCCAATTTTGATACGAAAGCTTTTTCAGCTATCCTGGGCCGGTTACCTTACCGTTGACCTTTCTAACATCTTTCGAAAGTTACTTTAGTGTAAAATATGAAACTGTGCGTTAACATTTCCACAGTATGTAATACACTGCAAAAAAAAAGTCAGTATTTAGACCGTGACAAACGATTGACGCACAATACCCTGGCGTTTAGATCGATAAGAAGAAACGTAATTAAATTCAGAAGAATTTACTTATTTTAGTAAATTAAAAGTTATTGATGTTTTTTTTTAAGAATTTGACAAGTTGCAAGTTTATTTTAAAGAATACCACGGAATTAGCAAGACGGCCAGAACCTGTTCTGGTACAACCTGGTGTCAGGAAATCGAGTTAATTACAGAAATCGAACGAGCGAAGAAGTTGTTGATTTGTAAATCCTTGTGCAAAAAAGTCAGCAATTTATGAAAGTTGTTAAGGAAATGAATACACTGTACTTCATTCAGATTAATGTTACAGTTTATTAGGTCAGTCCTTGTACAGTTTCTTGTAGTAAGGTATTTGATAATTAAAATACGTTTTTCTGAGACAAAAGATAACCTTATGTAACATATAACTATGTTAAAAATTTAATGAATTCGGCATCTTCATTAACTCTCGATAGCTTCTGTAATCTTGTGTTATTTAGTTTACCAGTTGTTTCTTATCCTTGAATTATCGATAGCTTCTGTAATCTTGTGTTATTTAGTTTCCCTATTGTTTCTTATCCTTGAATTATCGATAGCTTCTGTAATCTTGTGTTATTTAGTGTCCCTATTGTTTCTTATCCTTGAATTATCGATAGCTTCTGTAATCTTGTGTTATTTAGTTTCCCAATTGTTTCTTATCCTTGAATTAATTACCGATATTATCTAACATTTGGAGTGAAGAATTAGTCGTATAGATTAGAATTAAAATAACATATACGTTAATAATACACACAGTCATTTATCACATACTGACCAGAAATTCTTAAATTTACAAATCAATATAATTGAAACCTATAACGAGTTAACTACATTCACTCGTTGTTATCCCAATAACATTTCGTGATGTTGGCCAGTTTAAATGATTAGTGATCTCTACCCTATTTGGCACAGCGATAAGTCTGCTGACTTATAACACCAGAAACCTGGTTTCGATACTCGTGATGGGAACAGCACAAATAGCCAATTGTGTAGCTTTGTGCTTAACTACAAAACAACAACAACAAAAGATCTGTGTTAACCCTAATTATGCTTAAAAATGCAGTATCATCTTTAAAAGTATAAAACATTATACACGAAATTAATACGATTTATTGGAACAAATTGATTAATGCACCTACGTCACAGCTCTAGATATAGTTCTCCAAACACCTGTTAAGTTAAATTATAAATTATGTGTGCTGCTATAGAGTTTTTGTATCGCTTTATTCGCTAACTGATCAAACTTTTTTCATGACCATTGTTGATATACCGATTATCGCCATTTGTCATGTACAGTTCTTTGTCTTTTGGGTCTCGAGAACTTCTGGAAAAATCCTGTACTGTAAAGCTTCTCATTCGTGGTAGATTCCCGGAGATAAATAATAAACAATACAGTGCGTAGAATGCCCTGAGTGGGCGTAATATGCCATTTAATAGACATGTGTGACATTACTTCACAATAAAACTGATACCAATTAAAAGTACATCATTCTTCGCAGCCTCAACACGACTTTCCAGTCGAAAACTATTTTAACCTAATCGACCTGATGAGCTCCAGTACTGAATTGACAGAATATGATATTCAAAGACACGTGTGTATTATTTCATTACAATAACACAGACGCTAATTCAAATCTCATTATCGTTCACTGCCTTAATACAGGGTTTCAATAAGATAATTGTTTATTGTAGTTCAGTCGATCAGATGAACTAGAGTAGTATTAACCGAAAACCTTCGTCGCTAGTAATTGAAATACATATTTATAGTAAACCCAATTGGCCAGCATAAAATGATGGCGATTTAGAATATAATCTTTCTGACTATGATGTAATATTACGCCCATAGTAACAAATCTTAGTATATTTTACTCTATTATGGAATTCGAATGGAACCGATACCGACTTGGGATCCCAAGTTCGCTAAATACGGTGATTTATATATCGATTTAACAATTATTACGTTTTTCTACACTTGTTCGATATTTTATTGCGGTTTATTCAAAAACTAAATAATGGCTTTTCAATGTTATTGTTTCAGGTTCATGGAATGGAATTCACCGAAATACCACAGAATATATTACTAAGACAGAAACAGCTAAAGTAATTTATTATAGGGTAGCTAATGCATAAAGCCAAAAAATAACGTTTATGATTGACGAAAATATAACTGATTTATTGAGCGAAAAAAACCCAACAAAGCGTACCAAAAAAGTGTACAAACAAAAAATGAATATTTAAAACCTACAGTTCGGTCGTTAGAGCAGAACTGTAGATCCGATGGTTTGTGGTTTGCATCTTGCTGCCGCAACCAATAGCGATATGTGGGTGCGTTATAAGAGTGACAATCAAATTTCTCCATTTAATTAATGTAGCCCAAACTTTGGCGGCGAGTACTTTTAACTATTTGCTATATCTCTTCTGATCAAGAAGTTAGCACACAGGATCACCCAAAATTCGAGCGCTTTCGAATATTCTTCTTCAGTGAATAGTGAATTATTAAAAAACACTCGAGTTTGCCCCCTAGTGGCACATCGATATGTCTGCGGACTTACAACGCTAGAATCCGGGTTTCGATACCTGTGGTGGGCAGAGCACAGATAGCCCATTGTGTAGCTTTGTGCTTAATTACAAACAAATACTCGAGTTTTGGGTCTCGTTTGAAAACCATTGCTATATATTTTGTCTATCAGTTAAAAATTAGCGCAGACAACCCTCAACAAGAATGCAGTAGATAAATTCTGAATTTTATGTTTATTGTGTAAAGACGAAGTGCCTAGCCAACAATTAAATGGACTGCTATATTATGAAAGCCATGTAAAAGTCAAGGAAAGTGGCACATGGCGCCCCATCTAACGGAAAACTATAGAGTTACAGAACACGCAGATTGATATTTGATTTTCCAATAATAAATTCCTCGCGCATGGAATGAAGTTCTTGTAAAAATAAATCTAGATGTACATGCATGAAAAAAATGTATTTTATCAAGACTTGATAAATGATTCGGACTAGTGCAATCATGGACTAGCGTTTTCTTATATTTGGTAAAAAATGCATTTAGAATTCTAGACAGGGATTTCAGATTTGTAAAAATCAGACAAAATTAATTTTCTAATCACTGTAGGAAATTGTGTAAATGCATATAAAGTATATGATTTAATGTGAAAGTTTATATGAAACTGATAATATAAGAAACGGTAATATTTTTAGAACTGAAATCAAGACAAGGTTTTAAGGAACATCAGAAACGTAATTACAAACATTTGCCCCCCCCCCCCCCAGTGGCACAGTGGCATGTCCGCGGACTTACAACGCTAGAAACCGGGTTTTGATACCCGTGGTGGGCAGAGCACAGATAGCCCATTGTGTAGCTTTGTGCTTAATTACAAACAAACAAACAAATACCTAATTTCGATTGGATCTGAATGACCTGCACATAATGAAAACGTCAGAAGAGACACCTGGCAGTAGCCCAGTGTGTTAATATTCGGTACGTAAGCATAACAGTAAAAAGTTTGGATGAAGATAAATATCTTAATTTTTTATATTTCTTTTCACATTCTGGGAATGTAGGTGAGGATTATAATACACATTACAAACGTTGGTGTCGCTGTCAGTAACGTGCTAATCGTTACATTAACTTCTATCACGTAAGATGACACCACCTACAATATCTTTACAGAATACCACCTACCAGTGATATCCCTAATGACGTTTTACGACAGAGTAACAAAGCCTAACTCTACCATTTTTGGTCACGTGTACAGATGTACCGAAATATTAAGTGATTTTCACTTGGTGAAACTTAGGACAACGCGAATGATTTTATTTTTGCTATCATTTGGTTAATATTTAATTGTACAATTTTCAGTTCCTGATGTTTGCCATGGACTTGCACAAGTGTCTTCCTTTCTCTCTCTCTATATATATATAGCAAAACAAATGTGCTAATTTTATATAGCGAAACAAATGTGCTAATTTTATATAGCGAAACAAATATGCTAATTTTATATAGCGAAACAAATATGCTAATATTATATAGCAAAACAAATGTGCTAAT